GTAGCGGTTTGTTAGGTGGTTTCCTACGCGTTTGCGCAGGGTGTCGGCTTTTGCGGATTTGGTAAAGTTGTTTAGGGCTGTGGGGAGGTTGTTTTGGGGGGAGAAGAGGGTGGTGTAGGCTTGGATCTCTTCTGGCGTTGGGAACTGGGGTGGGTCGAAAGCCTTTCCTTCGTCGTCATGATACCATCCATGGAGACCGTGGGCTCTCTTTGCTTCGATGGCTCTTTGGGTTGCGTGGAGGGTTGTTTCGGCTTGGGCGCGGTAGATGTATTTGTCGGTTGGGGGGATGCCGAAGGATTCTCCTATACATTGTGCTAATGGCTTGTTGCTGTGGGTTGGAGAGTACTCTTTCTCTGTCCAGGCCTCGAAGAATGCATCGGGGTTGAAGTTGGTCAGTGCCATGTTGGTGGTTCACGGGTAGATGCCGATCCGCGATTATGCTTGCAAACCTGCACAACCACCAGTACAATTTGCAATCCACGATCCCAACTCTTTCTCGTGCCGGTACGTCAACTCAGAACGGTAGATGGTAAACAACGCGCGAATCGCAATAGTTTGGTCGTAGTGCTGCGATCGGACTTGTTCCGCAACGTCTTCGGCAAGCGGCCAATGAGGGCTAGCTGAGAAAGAAGCAGGGGCGATTCCGTCATCCATCGGTAATCCGCCTGGTCAGCAAGCGTCTTCTCTCTTCCCCACAAGAGGCTGTTACTAACCTGGCCGTGCCTTAGTCACTCATTGCAAATGCGATGCGCGAAGTCAATGAAGCTTCGACATGATGCGCGAACTAACCCTCCCCCTACTAACAGCTATAAAGGCGCCTCGACGCTTTCGATGCCAGGATTCCTCCTTTCGTGATGACAGACACATCTGGTGAACATCGCTCTACTACAACCGATACTTCGTATTCGACAACCACAAAGACACTTACAGTAGTCGTTGGTCTTTTCGCAATCATCCTGGCTTTCTCAAGCACTTTCCGCAGTATCTGGTTCCCTGCTGTTTCTACCAAACCCGCCACACGCGCAATGTCGACCGCAGGCCCAACTTCAATGAAGCTCACCAAGCGCGGTTGGTCGCAACGCGGCCATGCTGACCACGACTGGCTGTACACATACCACACTTTCTCCTTCGCCTCGTACTATGACCCCAGACACGAGAGCTTCGGCCCACTGAGGGTCATCAACGAAGACAGAGTAAAGGCCGGCACCGGCTTCGGTACGTACACCCCGTCCCATATACACGCCTACTCTTTTCTAACACTACCAACCAGGAACACACAGCCACGCCGAATTCCTCATCTTCAGCTACATCGTCAACGGCGTCCTCGAACACAAAGACAGCATGGGCAACCTCGAAAACCTCAAGCGCGGCGAAGTCCAATTCACCTCCGCCGGCACGGGCATCCGCCACTCGGAATACAACCGCAACTCCGACTCCGAAGTCCACTTCCTCCAGATCTGGGCCAAGCCCAATAAGCGCGGTCTGAAGCCGCATTACGAGACGAAGAAGTTCACCGACGAGGAGAAGACGGATAACTTGGTCAGGATAATGGAGTCCACGGACAGGATGGAGAAGAGTAAAGGTGCTATTGGGCTGCAGGCTGATCTTAGCATGGATGCGTCGATTTTGAGCCCGGGCAAGAAGGTTGTTCATGAGCTTGTTGCTGAGGGGCCGAGGAAGCTGTTTGCTCATGTTGTCATGGGTGGACGGTCGCAGCCTAAGCAGGGTGGGGCGCAGATCAAGATTGGGGATCAGGTCTTTGGGGAGGGCGATGGCGCGTATATTGAAGGAGTGAGCGGGCCTGGCAAGATTGAGATTGAGAGTGTGGGTGAGAAACCTGCGGAGTTCTTATTGTTTGATATGGGGCCTCAGGATGCGTAGATAGGTCTGAGATCATTTTAGTGGCTGACATTTCTTATAGTAATACAAGTGTAGATCCCAAGTAAAGTTTTGCGTGTCATCTTAGCACGCTGCCGTCCATCCAAAATATTCCGCATCCGACATGTTAGGATTTTCGTCGACCTGGGGGAATCCATAGATTTCGTTCTTGAGCCTTCGCTTCAGCTCTTCCAACACTCGACGATTCCGCTTACTGAAGGTTCCTGGTCTGATTGATGTCGCTAGTGGGACTGTGGGTATCTTGAGTACACAGCTGGTGACCATCACCATGTATACTCCAATGGCTACGCTAGGCTCAGCTTTTATCTTCATGGCTTTTGGAGTGAGATGGGATCGTCTGCGTGAAGAAGAGGTTGGAGGGTGATCATACGCGAGTTTGTGACCTGGTGGGATCGGAGGTGTAAATCTTCAGCGGTTGGCTTTCACTAATCGTTTGATAGCTACGCTGTCTGCCTTTGAAGTCCATGCAATCGGTTTGCTCCCCGTTCGACATCTGATCGAACGCCAGAGTCGCGGTTTCATAGATGCGATGCCAACGCAACGGTTTGATCCTCTGACCACCTACTTATTGCCAGCGCGCAAATCCACACCTTGACACGCAAACACTAGGTATCTCATCATCTCTAGGTTCAGTGTCCGGCATCCGACCACCTCACCGGTGTCGTCGCTGTATAATCCGGCTCGATCAACACATGCTGTGTCAACGAAGCGTCACTTCCAATCGGCTCGCTTTCGTCATCAGCGTAATAGCCTGATGAGCTTCCCGAAGGCGTTCTCCTGAGACCAGGCCTTCTATCTCGTGCAAGAACGACACCACAGCCATATATGGCACAGCATAGTGCTGCGATGAGGATGCCTACTAGGACGCCTATCGCGAAGTACGGAAAACATGGGGGCATGTTTGGAGGGTCTTGGTTTGGGTTTTGGATAATACCTGTCATGATTCGTGGTTGGTCGAGTGAATGGGTAGTGGTTGTTTTGTGACTGGAATAAAGCTATTGGAGAAACTAATGTAGCGTAGTAGCAGGGCACTATATATACATATTCCGGCTTGCCCTCCACATCATGTGGGTGCTTCAGCTTGCCAGACGCGCCTATCATGCGCACCTAACTTTTCCCCCCAGCGTTTGTTTCCCTTATTAGCTTTGCTTCAACTATGTCAAGGCTTTTTATCCTATAGTTCTTCTAGTATATCTTTTCTTTCTGTCTTATTCACCGCGTCGTTCGCAAAAGGGTTTCCAGATTCATATCTTGAGTCACTGTGCGATATTTGCGTTTCCCTACCTTTACCGAGAACGTCTACTCTGTAGGAGAGGCTCGGAGACTCTTCGTAACGGGACGATGAATCGCTGATGCCTGATCGAACACTGTATCTAGAGCTCGATGGATATGCCGGCCCTGGTATAGTAAGGCGTTGTGCGACGCTATGCGGTGGTGGCTGCACTTCTTCCTGTATAGATATGGCTTGAGGCGTAATAGGTATGTTGCGCAGACCATGCTCCTCATCTCTTTCATGAGATCGATGGTGGAGAGACAGGAGTAACCGAAAGGTGAATATGATCTGGATGAGGAGGACAAGGAGGATGACTAGGCAGATTACTGCTATGCTTTCGATCTCCATGTCGTAGTTGTTAGAGGATGAGCGATGATCATGATGTTCAGACGAAGGAATGGATGAGAGATGTATCTATCGTGAGCACACGTACGCGCGACGCGTTGTTATGATGATACCGACAGCAGAACAGCCAACGCAGGACGAGGCGTCTGGGAAAGAAGTCTATTCCAAATCCAAATCTGGATCTCACGATGACGTCTCAATAGTATAGCGTTGATCACTCCGTCATATCCCTGAACTCCGCGATTTCTTTGCTTTCTTTCTCTCTTAGCTAGCACTTCTCACTGCACACGTCCGTTACACACAGGTTACAACCACCTCCCTCTTCCTACCAGAAATCGCCGTAATCACAACCCCCGTTACTAAGCGTAATACACCACCCCTGGATGTGCATTTTCCGCCGTCTGCGTTGGTCTCGGCCGCGTCGTTCTATAGTCGTAGTATAAGTCTGACTGAGGATCTGTTTTCTTGGGTCCAGCGTGGTAGTTTCGCGTTCTGATCTTCATGCGTCGGAGCCACTCTTTGAAAAGAATCCAGCGCCAGATGAGGGGGGTTGGGGAGTTGGGCATTTCAGGTGAGTGAGACTTTACTGCAAAGATGTGGTACCGCGAACTTGAGAGATTTTTGGGTGGTGCTCAAGATGTGGAGACGACAGTGTCGCGAAAGATATGCAAAGAGGTAGAAAGTATAACAGGATTAGTGAACTCATCAGTAGATGACACTTATCGTGACGACTAGTTGGGTGCCTATGTCACTCATCACACACTTCACATTGCGAGGACGCCCACGTCCACGTTCATGATCATGAATGAACTAGAAGAAGACTGTGACGAACAGGCATTGAATTCCGGGTATATGACCAACTAGCCTTTTCGGTAGTATCGTTGATAGATTGTAAACTTGTGTTACTTCGTACACCTGATCGTCTTGTTCCTTTCAACGAGTTGATTGAGTAGCATCTTGTGCACAACCACGGATGTGAAATGGGCGCGTATCCCTTGCAAGATGGTTGTCTTCAGCTGCGCACTGGCATAGGCTCCTTGACGGTGATAAAGATCAGATAAGATACGAACGGCACGGCGAGGCAAAGGCCGAACAGCATGAGGATTTCGTATAACTGATTCATGGCAGGCGCAGATAATGGTCTGGGTGTGCTTGATTGAGATACGCTTACGCGTTAGGGATCCAGTACGATGTATGGGTTTTGCGGGAAGAACAGAAGACGAGGCTGGTTTCCAACGGTATAAGCACCAAGGTCGTCCATTCCACCATCACCACTGCCAGCGTATCGCCCCTTCCTAGTGTCGCAAAGCGCTAGCCACATCATTCCCTCCAAAACAATTATCTTCCACTTTATCCCTATGTCTTTCCAGGCCACCGCTCACCCAACACGTAGCTGTACCGCCCCCTCTTCTCAATCCGCGCATCCTCGTCACACAACTCCCCTTCATCAAATTGCTCATACCGTGGTAAAGCCGAGACTTCACTACTTCTCCTCGTCACCGCTCGCGATGGCCTCTGCAACCTTATCGCACCGTCACCCAGCCCAATTCGTGTCGACCCTTGTACCAAATCGGCGAATTCATGCTCATCCCCTCTCTGGGCCCGTCGTTGATGCATCTTCATGCAGACTTTGTAAACGATGCGTAGGACGATTAGACCCGCGGCGATGATGACCATAACCCATAGTGCTTTGGCGTTGGGCCAGGTGAAGTCGGAGGCCGAGGCATCGTAGTTGCTGTCTGGGGTTGTCATGGCTGTGGCGATGAAGGAGGTAGTATACACGAGTTCCTAGAAGACATCGTGAATGACAAAAGGGCACATTGCACTTGAAGAAAGGTAAAGATAGTTTGAAGATATCCGAACAGCAAGCTGCTTCGCTGGCGAGAGACCGGAAGCCGTGCTGGCAAACGCGCAAACGCAATTTAAGCGTGAGGAACGACACCTAGCGACACATCGTCGTGACAACATCTTCACGTTTCTCGGTTCGAATAGCAAACACTATCACCTAATCTTGCCGCACAATGCATCTAGCCAAATGGACTTTGTGTCTCACTATTCTACATCAACCCTCCTTCTCATCGGCATCCGGCTGATCCTCGTCGTGATAGTCATTGACTCTCGGTCCCTCAGGTCCTTCAAGCGATTCGTCTACTTCGCGAAATGCATCTACGAAATCTATTCGCGCCAGGACGATGTCTAGATAGAGGGAGAGAGCAAGAAAGCCTGCGATCAGCCAGGTAGAAGTGTCCGCCATGGTTAGATGCAAGACACTGTGTTGAGATGTGTTTTGAGAATTCCTTTCGAAAGCGTAAGAAGTTAGATGACAGGAATACAAATGCAGAAGTAAGAAGAAAGACACGCAACCAGTACAGAGGGCGACGGGAAGTACTAGCCAAACGACCGTACCAGCAGCCGAACTCTGATGAGCAAACACCTAAATTGGGTAAGAAACTGAGACGTCTACGTGTATTCCAAACATCCGCGATTGCGAACGGGATGTTACTTCCATCTATCCTAGTAATATACAACCGCAAGTGTAGGTACTCAAAAACAATGCTCTGCACCAGCGTCATCCTTAATGACTGAATAGGACACGTCCACGAGAGTGCAGAGTTTATTGACACTCGTGGACATGTTCTATTAAGTCATTGATAACAGCGTTGATGTAGCAAGTTGCGTAATAATACATGGGTATTCTGGTCCTTCTGCAGCATGTCATCTCCAATTCTCGTTTCCATCATCTCTTACTATCCTTCAGATACGCGTTCCAATCAGTCTTCTCGCCCTGAACATCAACTCCCGTCACGCCATCCCCCTCAGTCCAGCCCTGCCACTTCTCCAAGCCAAACAGATGACGCATGGTAGGACGGCCATGGGGGCAAGCCCACGGCTTGTCCATACTGCCCATGTGTCGAACAATCTCCCGCATGCGTGGCGTCTGAAGGGTCTTACCGATCATCACCGAACTTCTGCAGGCGCGGCTTGCGAGTAACTTCCTGACCTTGGAGGGGCGCGGTATATGCGACGATGTGGACATGGACGAAGACTGTGGGCTTTCTACGATGAGTGCGAGGAGTTCCTCTAGATCCGTAGGTGTAAAGGTGACTTCTTTTGACATTGGCAATGAGACCAACTGCGCATGGTTGTCTGCGCCATTTTCATCCTCGGTGTCTAGATCGACAACAAAGCCGTTTGCGGTGAGTGAGGGTTTGTTCGCGCGGATAACTTCCTTCTCCACGGCAGTCAGCTCAAGAGGGTGTGGGTGGACTAGTCGCTGTGGCACTAGCGTTGTCGTGGCAGCGAGACGCTCAAAGTTGTACTTCTCGTCACTCGCATGCTGGTCGATGATGAAGAGGTCTGACGTGGGTGATGTGGATGTAGGCGGCCGTACAGCGATGATGAAGCCAAGATTGAACTGACCAATGATGCGCATTTCATTGAAGTCGGCTTTCGTTACTGTAAGGCTGAGACGCTCTTCTGGGTCTTCCTGGTTCAGCTGGGTGCTTGTCGGTAGTGCAGTCGCCTCATCGGTCTCCACAATCGACGCGTCGATGGATGCCTGTACAGTTTGTAGGTGCCGAGCAATGATATCCACATCTGTCTCGATGACACGCTCAAGATTGATGGTCCAATACTTCTTCTGAGTAACCTTGAATAGTTTGTTGGCGCGCTTGAGGTTCATTTCAGTGGGCCGGGCTGCAGCTTCTTCAGCGTCAGCAATGAGCTGCGCAATCTTCGCTTCTTCTCTCTCTTTCTTTTCGGAATCTTCTATATACTCATCATCGTCCGCGATCTCGGCTTCAGCTTCAGCTTGAGGCTGTACTTCACCATCAGACGAGGATTCCTCTTCTGGAGCTTCTTCGGAGATGACTGTTGCGCGCGGCGGTGGAGCGCTGGATGACACAGCAATATCATCCGTCCGCGGTTCCTCAAAGCCGCGGGATGGCAGGCGCTTATGCGGAGATGGAGAGCGTATAGGTGCATCAGACATATGACGATCTTGCGCGACTTCAGTCTCGTCCTCCCCCTCCTCCTCATCATCCTCCTCCTCCTCACTACTTTTAGCTTGCGTACCTGGTGCTGTAAAGCCGCTTAGACCCTTCTTGAATAAACTCCTCTTTGGCGTCTGATTCAGCGGCTTACCGGAGAGAGAAAACTTGGGTGTGTGTATCCTAGAGCGTTTGGCAGCTATCGATTGACTCCCCGTACCGATTGTGGAAATAGTCGTCGTGTTACTAACAGTTATAGTAGCCTGTTGGATTGGCGTGCGCATTGGACGCATACGATCAAAGGCGTTTTGAATGGTACTTTGTGACCAGGACTTCTGCGGTGTCTGTACTATGGCCGGGATTGGCTGTTGTTCATCGTCACCGTCATCAGTGGATTCTATATGCTTTGACGAGATGACTGGCTCCTGCTTGTGAGGACTCTGAGATGCTATGCGGGCATTGAAATCTTGTACGATTTTCGAAGGTTGTGAAAGCCTGACCGGAACTCCTGCTGCTTCGTCTTCTGGTTCAAACAATGGTGACTGTGACCTTGAGCGCGCTGGCTCGACCCGATTCTTCCTCTCTGGTGAAGGGCTGCGTGGCAGGACATGTGAATCGGACATGGGCTCTTCGGGAGACTCTCTGTTCTTGGAGGAGTTGGCTCTTCTAGGTCTTACCATTGGACGGACCGTTCGTTCTTCGGAGTCCCTGCCAGCAAACCGCTCAATGAGACTTGCCTTTACGAAGCCTGGACGGACATTCATATCAGGCGTGTCTTGAGGAGATGGCGATTCACCCCTGATTGGAGTCCTTTGGGGAGGCTCGACAGTATCTTCCGATTCACTTCGGTCGCCTGCAAATGCCGAGGTAGTGCTTTCCCGGGGTTGTATTGTTGGCGGCTTGAAGGCGGATGTGGGTGTCTTCTTGCCCAAGAGTTGAGCTTGGGGTACGCTCTGATCATGGCCCTCAAATAGCTCTAAAAGAGCGTCCTTGAGGTTCTCCAATAGCGTAGTCTGGTCGTGGAGCATGATGGTTCGCTTGTCTGGACTCACATTGACATCGTAGGCATTTGTGTCCAGCTGGATGTCTGCAAATACAAAAGCCGACTGAGTGATGTTATAGGATCTGTAGACCTCATTGATCGCCTTGGCAACTTGTGGCAGAGCGCAAGGCCGCGAGTTCACAAAGAACATCTGTCGGTCTTGTGTCTGGCGACCTTCACCCACAACAGGGCGGGAAATGTGGCCCACTATCTTGACTGTTTTTGAACCTGTTTCCTCTTGTGTGCTCCAGTTCTTTGCGCTTTGTGTGGCACCCAGCCGGCTCGAAGGGTCCATGACGAATTCGAGGCTTAGAGGAATCAGGGCAGCAATCGTCTTTGCGCCGTAGACATTGGAGATATTGTCTCGCGTACTCGCATTCGCGTTGGTCGAGAAAGCCACCGTCTTCTTTCTTGACTGAGTCAACACGATGGACGGGTGGATGGATATTGGATCTGCACTCACCCTTTCGGTATCTGATTGCTCACCGAGAACTTGACGCCTACGCTGATGCAAGCATATGCGTTCAGCAGCTGCAGCACTTTGTTGTACTCCCGCTTGATGTTCTTCTCGAGCTCCTTCCGCCGTACAGGTAGGTTATGGAACAGTGTCTCGACCACCACAGTCGTGCCCTGCTTGGCTGCTACCACCGACGTCCCCTTCAGCTTGCCGGACTGCTCGAACTCCAACTTCGTACCCTTTGGGCCGTCGGAGGGCCGAGCCGTAATGATGTGAAAGTTGGACAGCGCGCATAGCGACGACAAGGCCTCGCCACGGAAGCCGAATGTCTGTAGGGACGAAAGGTCGTCGTAGGTAGCGAGTTTGGACGTGTAGTGCTTGAGCGCGATCGTTTCGTAGTCGTCAGGGGAAATGCCAGAGCCGTTGTCTTGAACCTCTATGGCGTCCAGGCCATAGTTCTTGAAGCGCACCTCTGCGTTCGTTATCAGTCATCGCACGTCACCCAGAAATCGTGGGGCGAAGACATACCAACTGATGTGGCGCCTGCATCGATGCTGTTCTCGACAAGCTCTTTGCAGACTGACTCCAGACCAACAATGACCTGGCCGGACTGGATCTGATGCACAGAGCGGCCCTCGATGGCCTTGATGGTGGCCATGTCAACCCATGCCGAGGTGACGTCCTGGAGACGGTTGAATGCGGACGGCGTGACTACGCGACGCGTTTCGGGCTAGCCAATGGACGTGACGCGCTAAATGTGGGGGTCAACCGGTCGTACTCCGCACTGATGCCCGTGAGCTTCCCGCTTCATGTTTCAGACTTCAGGATAAGTAAATTGCGCCTTCGACACGTTTAAGTTTTCAAACCCCAGACTTCAATTTTTCTCGCTCTTCGCATGCAAGATGAATGATCCGAATGAGCTCGAACAGCTACAAGCGGTCGTCCGTCGGATGGCCGTGCAATCGCAATTCGAACACGATCTGTGAGTGCCAGAAACAACTGCGTCCGCGACGTAGGCGTCGCATGTCCTAGCTATGGCAGACTTGCACAACCACTCGCACCATTCATTCGGGTAGCTGACGTTTTTGCAGAATCACTAAAAAGAAGCTCGAGCTTGAACAGATCAACAAAGCAGCACGTGCCAATGATGTCGTGTATCAGAAATATATACGCTACTACGCAATGAAGGACTGCCTGCGGCTCATGAATCTGATGCATCAAAAGCTCCCCGTAGAGCTACGCGACTTGGTGTACGAGTTCCTCTGCGTTGAACCTGATCGTCCGATTCCCGTTGGGCCATACTATCACTTCCGCAAATACGATAAGCCTTTTCACGATCCATTGCAGAGGCAACATTACGACGGCTTCGTGGGACCAACCATTTCGTTCAGGGGGGCGGCACCACCAGCTCCTTACCGCGCTATCACCGGTAACAATCCGGACGTCGATGTGAAGACGGGGAAAGCCGATGACAGCAACGATGTGCAATTGAGCCTGGAACTTACAGAACGCATCGCGAACTTGGAGTTAATCCATCGGGATTATGATCGGAGTTTGGTCGACGACGACAATACCACTGTCCTCCCTGACGGCCGAGTCAGAGAAGAACACACACACAAGCCACCGAGGGATATGCCACTTCCATCCAGCCATTTTCTGGACCCCAGATACGTTGGTGCGGAAGCTGCGTATGAGATACAGAAGACATACTACGCGCTCAATACGTTTTCCATATGCAGCGTTGAACGAGCTATATTCGGCTTTTCCGAGAACCACTCCGGCCACAACATTGTGGGATACAACGACGAAGATGGTACCCCCTGGGAAGTATCGGAGGCCGTTCAGACAAAACCACTGCTGTACCCCAGGAACCACATCAGGAATCTCCAGGTTCGCGTCAAATTTGAGCAGTTTATCGAAGACATGCAGAAAGACCACTTCACGGAGCTTGATAAATACTCCTACGAACGACGCTTCCTCCGCTTCACTGAGCAAAACTTGCAAGGTCTCAGCCAATTCCTGAGGGAGCGATCCAAGCACGATATCAACATCGAATTTGTTATCATGACTGAACTCCCAGATTTCACAGATGACGAGTTTGGAGTGAGCGCTCAATGCAACTACGTGAATTTCCTGCAATCTATCAGGAACTGGGTATACATCATGAAGTATGACTGTGACAACATCTCTGTCAAGGTCACGCATCATGACCCACCCATGACGCCTTTTCCGCGTGATATCACAGGGATATTCGGATTAACTCAAAAGCAATGGGAGCAAGTAAGTATAGCATTAGCCAACCTCAGGCAAAGTGTCCCACATTGAGCTAACGGTAATATAGGAGAAAGCCATTCATCAGGATGAAAACACCTGGGTGGCACAATTTTACCTTGCAACCCCATGGATGGATCCGAACGACGTTTCGTTTGGCTATCCCGCTATTGAGGTAGACCATATGCTTCGCGAGCGATGGGGCATGGACTCGATTACAGCTACCGAGGCCACACTCCCCATCACAGAAGGCAGATATTGGCCCAGTTCCATCAACGCGGTGCCTCTTGATCGCAGGTTTGACTAGAGGCAATGGAGAAAAGTGAATACCCTATAGCCTACATTAACGTCGGATTTTCTAATCTATATTTTTTGTCCCGGTGTATTCTACAGACGCGTTCGGGTTTTCCCTTGTATGATGTGCCATCAATGCTATCGGCGCTTTCATGTTCATAGATGACGACTACTACTGTCAGACCAGGTATGGCCTTGTCGCTGTTTGACATTGCAGCGACAATCCCTACCGCGACCTTGGGAACATTGATGTTGGTAGCATGTAATTGGTGGACCCGAATATTATTTTGATGAATTGGGCATACTCACAGGTGGCGTGCTGGACATGCGATGCCGTGCTTGCGGCGCGGGCGAAGATGCCGATTGGCCGCGTGCCTGAAAACCAGGGCAGGAACTGTATGGGGCGGTCCCCGTCCCTCGATCTCGAGATCTGAGACCTACAGTGGATTTCTAAGACAACGCACGACTTAGGCTTAGTCTCCGAACAACGTCACTGCATGTGCCGGCGACACGCATGCGTCGTATGGTCGTATCCGCCGACCACAGATGCCGCGCTCTATACGGCAGCATCATCCATGGGCGTCCACTCGTCGCGCGCCCGGATGTGCTAAATCCGACTCGCCGGGCAGCGCCAGGCCTATAACGCACTAGAGTCCGAAAGTCGATGTGATTGACATGGCTCCTTTTGCAGTGGCCACCGCTCGCGCCAAGCCCTGCAATTAAACAATCAGAGATCCTCTTTTCGGCTTCGTCCTCGCGCGGGAATATAATACGGCGTCGATTGACTCCCCTTGGCTTCCCTACGTCCTCCCCTCCGCGACCTTCGCGCCTCCCCCTCGTACATAACACAGCGCGGCGCGATCCTAATCTCTTCGACATGGCGGTCAACGCGAGTTTTGTCTCGCCGACGGCGGACGCAAAAGTTGCGCATGTCCTCCAGCAATTCGATACCAGCGGTCTCCTATCCTCCGTCTTCTCCGGCTTCAATGCCTGGAAGCTCGCTCTGACGCTCATCATAACGGCGGTGGCGTACGACCAGTGTAGGCATTACATGTGTCACGTTTGCGCCGGACATTGCTGACACTCGCGCAGTCAAATACATCTGGAACAAGGGCTCAATCGTCGGTCCCTCGTGGAAGATACCCTTCATCGGTCCATTCCTCGAGTCTGTCAACCCCGATTTCAAGAAGTACCACGAAAAATGGATGTCCGGTCCTCTCAGCTGCGTATCCGTCTTCCACAAGTATGCCACCCCGTCACCTGCCCTCAGTCTGTGCCTATACTGACCGCTCCTAGATTCGTCGTCATTGCCTCCACCCGCGACATGGCCCGCAAGATCTTCAACTCCCCCGCCTTCGTTAAGCCCTGCGTCGTCGATGTCGCGCAGAAACTCCTCCGCCCCGAGAACTGGGTCTTCCTGGACGGCCGTGCCCATGTCGACTACCGCAAAGGTCTCAACAGCTTGTTTACTCGTCAAGCGCTCGAACAGTACCTACCGGGCCAGGAGGAAGTTTACAACACATACTTCAAGCGCTTTGTGGAGCTTTCGCAAGTAGAGAACAAGGGCAAGCACATTCCCTGGATGCAGGAGTTCCGCCTCATGATCACTGCGTTGAGCTGCCGTACCTTCGTTGGTCACTACACCTCTGACGAGGCCGTCAAGAAGATCGCCGACGACTACTACCTGATCACCGCTGCGCTCGAGCTTGTCAACTTCCCTATCATTATCCCCTTCACCAAGACCTGGTACGGAAAGAAGTGCGCTGACATGGTCCTGGATGAGTTCTCCAAGTGTGCCGCAAAGAGCAAGGTCCGCATGGCTGCTGGTGGCAAGAAGGAGTGCATTCTCGACTTCTGGGTAGACAACATGATCGAGTCTGAGAAGTACCGTAAGAGGGTTGAAGCTGGCGAGAAGGTCGATGACGCCGAGAAGCCCGCGACTGTCATCCGCTGGTTCAGTGATCTTGAGATCTCCATGACCATCTTCACCTTCCTCTTCGCTTCCCAGGACGCTACCTCTTCTGCCGCCACATGGCTCTTCCAGATCATGGCTGACCGCCCCGAGTACCTCGAGAAGATCCGCGAGGAGAACATCAAGGCCAGAAATGGCGATGTGCACGGTACTCTTTCGCTTGACGCCATCGAGAAGTTGCAATGGACCCGCGCTGTCGTCAAGGAGACTCTCCGCTACCGTCCCCCAGTCATCATGGTTCCTTACCTGGCTAAGAAGGACTTCCCTGTAACACCTGAATACACCGTTCCCAAGGGCTCCATGGTCATTCCTACAACCTACCCGGCACTTCACGACCCTGAAGCATACCCCAACCCAGACTCGTTCGAGCCTGAGCGATGGATCACCGGGAACGCTGATCAACAAACCAAGAACTGGCTTGTATTCGGCACAGGTCCCCACTACTGCCTGGGCCAGACATACGCGCAAGCCAACCTCATGTTGATGATCGGCAAGGCGAGTATGTTGCTTGACTGGGACCACAAGGTCACCGACCAGAGCGAGGTGATCAAGGTGTTTGCCACTATTTTCCCTATGGTAAGTCGTATTGCGCACCATCCACATCTCTTCAGATCATTCGCTAACCTTCTATAGGATGACTGCCTTCTTACATTCAAGGACCGAACAGCGGCATAAACAGTCAATGTTCTTTTCAGCTACGTGATGCGCACATTGAGCGATCTTTCTTGCATTTGCATCCGTAGATTTCTGTGTTGAAAATTTGGTTCGTCCAAGGCAGAGGTACACTTGTACTCTGGTCTTGCATCTTTAGACATTAATGATTACGGCCCTTGGCGCTTCTTGAGAAGTAGCCCGTTGGCTTCATGAGTACAGTGTAAGCTGGGATGAATTAATACTGGGACGAGGAGGGGATAAGCTGGAGAGGGGACGGCCTTATATAGGACAGCGATAATGGCGTGGAGAATGTATGAAGTCAAGAACAATCCTCGCGTGCTTTTGCAAAACGTGCTGGGTGGATTGCAAGCTCAGTGGTTCACATGTCTACCGCGGGCAGGGACTAGAGCTATGACCATGACCCTTGAAGTCCACTCCACATGCCGATTGTCTTTCGTGTTTCCACCGCCTGCTTGCCAGCAGCAGCATCAGCATCCTCCCAGCCCCAGAACCTTCCCACGGATTGCTATTTTTCGCTTGGGACGCCATCGTAAAAGCGCGGCAGAGGAGTGAATGCCCGACCGATTGCGCACAGTCACGCTGCTTTCAACCGACACCCCAACACCAACAGTCGCAACGACGCAAGACGTTCAGCACAGGTTCTGAACAAAAGCGCACGTCATGGCGCCTGCCGCCTCTCCCTCGGAGCGCGATCCTGAGCGCGTCGGACCACACCCGTCCTACATCGAGATCGCGAAGCCCTACATCCTGCAGTCGCGCATGCAGAAATGTCTCACAGAGATACATATGAGCGATGCCAAGGAGGATGCCGTGCGCCTGCAAGGCGTTGCCTGGATAGATCAAGTCCGGCGCGCGCTGCAGCTGCCTATCCGTACCTTCAACACAGCTGTGATCTACTACCATAAGTTCAGGCTATTACATGCGGACAATGAGTACAACTGGGCCGACGCGGCAGCTGCTGCACTCTTCACAGCCTGCAAAATTGAGGATACGTTAAAGAAGAGTAGGGAGATTCTTTGCGCCCATTGGAACCTCAAGGTTGGGCCTGGTGAGAGCCTAAGCAGCGATGATCCGGTATGCACCTATTGTGAGCGAGAATAACTACGAGTTCAAAGTTAACACATTAACAGCGCTTCGATAACCACTCCAAGCTTATCATCGGCCTCGAACGTCTCATGCTCGAAAGCGCCGGCTTCGATTTCCGCAACCGATACCCCCAAAAGGTCATGGTCAAGCTTGCCAGAGCTCTGCGATTCGACGCGAAAGACGAGGCCAAAACAACTTGGAACCTGAGCATCGATTCATACAGGACGTTTGCACCGCTGAAGCAGTCTACGCCGACTTTGGCTATTGCATGCTTAGAGCTTGCCGCACGGTTGCACGGGAAGGATGCCGCCAAGTTCGTGGATGCAGGACCTGTGAGATACCACAAGTGGGCTACCAGCCGGGCAGAGGTTATGGAGACGCTTCTCGATATGCTCGATCTGTACACCCATCACCGCAGCGCCACTTCGGTTGGACCCTCCTACACACTCGAACACTTTATCAACATCCGCATTGGACTCAACCAGGAGGCTTCAGCAGCGCACATCCCACGTTACTCTCAGTACAAGTCTGAGCAAGCCGCCGACCCAGAAGGCACAGCCAACGGTGCCAAGCCTCGCAATGGCATCGACCCTACCAGTCCACTTACCCCAGCCACCCCCGTCGCACTCTCGCCTGGCGCAGACCAAGCACCCAAGTCCGCAATCGGCATTCGTGGTCAGAACGGCACGGTCAGGTTCATGTTGGACGCTGCCCGTGCGCACGGTGAGCGCGCCGAAGTTGAGAAGTTCCACAAGGTCGAAGAAGAGGAGTATGAGGTAGAGGTGCCGAATGACCCTAGGGCAGATGAGAGGGAGAGAGATAGGGCAAGAGTTGGAAGAGTGCGTTGAGTATAAACATGGATTTTACGTTCTTGGATTTTGCTGTTCTATTACTTGCGCATTGCATTGCGCACGATAGAGGCGAAGCTAAATATTAATGATAGGACTCCATCGGCAGTACCGATGACTGGTACAGTGGTCCAGTCGCAGTTGGTGATGCGAGGGATGGTGCGAGCAATCAACGCGAAGGAGGGTATTGGGACAGATTTCGCCAGCGCTCGGAAGAGGCATCGCTTGCTCGGCCAGCTGCTCACGTGGAAGAGAACGTCCACCCATCGAGAAGGGCCGCCAACTTCGACGACATTGACAAGGGCATCATACAACAAAAGGCCAATGACGATGCTGTGACTTCGTTCCGCGACAGGAACTCAGAAGATGGAGCACATAGCAAACGATCACGGAAACGCCCTCATGCACAGAAGCGGAAAAAGCTGGCCAAGCGGGGCGATGTCAGTGATGATGAAGAAGACGCTCATCGAATGGAGGCAAGCTACGAGCGACATCCGCGAAAGCCATCAGATTTATCCCACGACGAAGCAGATCACCAGCGGGGCTTTGACCAGACCGATCGGTTCACACCTCCGCATGACCCCCGAGATGGCCGCCTAAATTTTAGCCACCGAAGCCGTGATAGCACACGTGGAGGCAAGCGCCGCGGAAAGGGAGAACACTACCATGAGGCAGGTCACGGCAGCCGCAACCGGAAAGATTCGACACCTCCCTTCCAAGATGGATACCAGAATCGTTCCTACTGGCGTGAAGCGCAAGTCGCTGAAGCACAAGGCAAGGACGACACGTCACCACAGAGAACTGTGATGCGCAACACTTCCGAAGAGCGTAACGAACCAGGACGACTAGCAACATTCATTCATCCGGATCGCATGGCGCAAGTCTCGCCAGAACCAGAGCATAGTCGGACTACCAGGCCCCAGGCACGCAGCGAGGCACTTCCTGCGGTAGATGTCAAGAATAAGCAACCAACTAGCACGAACAAGGCACTCTCCGCGAATGATGGGCATCAGTGGGCAGGTACTGGCAGTGAGAACAGCAATGTCAGAGGAAGAGGAAGAGGTAGGGGCAGAGGCAGAGGCAAGGCAAGGGGTGGAAGGGGTGGCTATCGTGGAGGTAGAGGCAGAGGCGGCAGCTCGGACGAATGAGTGCACAGCCTTCTTGCTCTTTGTTTTGTGATGAAGAGAGATGTCAGGGACGACGCTCATGTTCTGGTTACCGGAGATTCTGGTGATGTAAGATAGGCTTTTTGAATAGGACAGGCCTTTTGGACAGGACAGCGAATGTACTTCGGCTTTCCAACTTGAGACAATGGTTTCGCGGTCAACGCACATTGTATTTTACTGGTATTCCAAAAGATTTATCGTCGTGCCCTGAGCAATGAGACGTGGCTATGCAGTGGGCCCAAAGGGCTGCGGAATTACCGGGGATAAGCCCAACGTGGTAGCAGCCTCATGAACGTACGCCTCTCGACTGGATTTCAAAGCGTCATCTTATGAATCGCCTGCTCTTGACCCAGAAGATCTTTGGAAAGTATGGGGAGTCATGCGTTCCTCAAGGGCGGGAGGGCACTGAAATTTCTCGATTAGATTGCTGAGGTCATCTATTTCCGGACGGATTCCAACCATGGTGCCTATGAAACCTGTGCCATGGCGCTGTTGGCAAAGAAATCACGAAAGATGGTATCCATTGTACCAGTGCATGATGATTTTGGGCTTTGCAAGGCGTAGACTTGCCACAAACACCCAACTGGGGCACATGCAGCCATGCATTTTTCCGCTGCAAGGCCAAATCTAGTAGGTGAAATTACAAGTGACGATATTTCCCCCCGATCATGACCCACACCAGTTGCGGCGCTACCCAATGGTATGTATTGGGCCGCCGCGTTGTAATCCGCAGACGAGTGACTGGCAGTACCACAAGAGATCAGTGGAGTCATGGCCTCGATTCTGGGGAAATCATAGAATTCAGCACATCGAGTTGTGCGGTACAAAAGCGAAAGGGCGCCGCAGCATGGCCAGTTTGGGCATTACAGGCTACTTCGCGCCACTGGTGGGCCGTGCTTTAGCGAGGAAAGCGCGACTGACCCCACCACTAGCTCTACTAAAAACCTTCGCTCCCCCTCGCAGAACTCTTCTCACCAGACGCACGCCCGCCTCTACGGCTTATAATCAACTCCCGTCTGTCTGACTCTGGTCGACTGCATCGCCAGAGACATCAGCTCAACCCGCGACCTATACACCGAATCCGCGCGCTCAAAGCGGGGTATTCGTCAACTCCCCTCCACTGAATTTTCGTAAAAGAAGAACAGTACCAACACCGCAAAGATGGTCAAGTAAGTTGCCGACGCCGTCCCCATCTCCCTTCCAGGCTTGGACCTTTCGTCTCTTGTCTGCGGGAACAATTGGACAATCGCTAACATGACGCCAGCTTCACCGTCGAGGAGGTACGTTCCGCGCACACATCACCCCGCACCACACGTCGATATTGGCAACACCGGAAGGATGAATACTGACTGCGCGGCTAGATCCGTGGTCTCATGGACGACCCTAAGAACATTAGGAACATGTCCGTCATTGCCCACGGTAAGCGCTCTCGTGGCAACCCCGCAGCATCGGGCTGGACAGAAAGCTAACATACCCCACCACAGTCGATCACGGAAAGTCCACCCTCACCGACTCGCTCGTCCAGCGTGCCGGTATTATCTCGGCTGCCAAGGCTGGTGAGGCTCGTTTCACCGACACCCGAGCTGACGAGCAGGAGCGTGGTGTCACTATCAAGTCGACTGCCATCTCCCTGTACGCCACCCTCAAGGACGAGGACGACCTCAAGGACATCCCCGTTCCCACCACCAAGAACGACTTCTTGATCAACTTGATCGACTCACCCGGTCACGTTGACTTCTCATCTGAAGTCACTGCTGCTCTCCGTGTCACCGATGGTGCGCTCGTTGTCGTCGACACCATCGAGGGTGTCTGCGTCCAGACCGAGACTGTCCTGCGTCAGGCTCTTGGTGAGCGTATCAAGCCCGTCGTCATCATCAACAAGGTCGACCGTGCTCTTCTCGAGCTCCAGCTCAGCAAGGAGGACCTGTACCAGAACTTCTCCCGTGTCATTGAGTCCGTCAACGTCGTCATCGCCACCTACTACGACAAGGCCCTCGGTGATGTCCAGGTCTACCCCGAGAAGGGTACCATCGCCTTCGGTTCCGGTCTCCACGGCTGGGCTTTCACCATCCGCCAGTTCGCTTCCAGGTACGCCAAGAAGTTCGGTGTCGACAAGAACAAGATGATGGAGCGTCTCTGGGGTGACTCTTTCTTCAACCCCAAGACCAAGAAGTGGACCAAGGTTGGCACACACGAGGGTCAGCCCCTTGAGCGTGCTTTCAACCAGTTCATCTTGGACCCCATCTTCCGCATCTTCCAGGCGGTCATGAACTTCAAGACCGACGAGATCCCCACTCTCCTCGAGAAGCTCGAGATCAAGCTCACTTCCGATGAGAAGGATCTCGAGGGCAAGCAGCTCCTCAAGGTTGTCATGAGGAAGTTCCTTCCCGCCGCTGACGCTCTCCTCGAGATGATGATTCTCCATCTTCCTTCTCCCGTCACCGCTCAGAAGTACCGTATGGAGACTCTTTACGAGGGTCCCCACGACGATGTCAACGCCATCGGTATCCGGGACTGTGACCACAACGGTCCTCTCATGCTGTACGTCTCCAAGATGGTGCCCACTTCCGACAAGGGTCGTTTCTACGCTTTCGGTCGTGTCTTCTCCGGTACCGTCCGCTCCGGTCTTAAGGTCCGCATTCAGGGCCCCAACTACACCCCCGGAAAGAAGGAGGACTTGTTCATCAAGGCCATCCAGCGTACCATTCTCATGATGGGTCGTTTCATCGAGCCCATTGACAACGTCCCCGCCGGTAACATTCTCGGTCTTGTCGGTGTTGACCAGTTCTTGCTCAAGTCTGGTACCCTCACCACCAACGAGACTGCCCACAACCTCAAGGTTATGAAGTTCTCCGTCTCTCCCGTTGTGCAGCGCTCCGTTGAGGTCAAGAACGCCCAGGATCTGCCCAAGCTTGTCGAGGGTCTTAAGCGTCTCTCCAAGTCCGACCCCTGCGTTCTGACCTACATCTCGCCATCTGGTGAGCACGTTGTCGCTGGTGCCGGTGAGTTGCACTTGGAGATCTGCTTGAAGGATCTCGAGGAGGACCACGCCGGTGTTCCTCTCCGTATCTCCGACCCCGTCGTGCAGTACCGTGAGACCGTCAACGCCACTTCCAGCATCACCGCGCTGTCCAAGTCGCCCAACAAGCACAACCGTCTCTACCTCACTGCTCAGCCTTTGGACGAGGAGGTGTCCCGCGCTATCGAGACTGGTGTCATTGCTCCTCGTGATGATATCAAGTCGCGTGCCCGTATCCTTGCTGACGAGCACGGCTGGGACGTCACCGATGCGCGTAAGATCTGGTGCTTCGGTCCCGACACCACCGGTGCCAACTTGCTCGTTGACCAGACCAAGGCCGTCCAGTACCTGAGTGAAATCAAGGACTCTGTAGTCTCTGGTTTCCAGTGGGCTACCAAGGAAGGTCCCATTGCTGAGGAGCCCATGCGCTCCATCCGCTTCAACATCATGGATGTTACCCTCCACGCTGATGCCATTCACCGTGGTGGTGGTCAGATCATCCCCACTGCGCGCCGTGTCCTCTACGCCGCCACTCTCCTTGCCGAGCCCACTCTTCTCGAGCCCGTCTACCTCTGCGAGATCCAGGTTCCCGAGCAGGCTATGGGTGGTATCTACGGTGTCCTCACCCGCAGGAGAGGTCACGTCTTCGAGGAGGCCCAGCGTGTTGGTACTCCTCTCTTCAACGTCAAGGCGTACCTTCCCGTCAACGAGTCCTTCGGTTTCACTGCCGATCTCCGTGCCGCCACTGGTGGACAGGCCTTCCCACAACAAGTCTTCGACCATTGGCAACATCTCACTGGTGGCTCGGCACTTGACCCCTCCACCCTCACCGGAAAGATCGTCTTCGACATGCGCAAGCGCAAGGGTATCAAGACTGAAGTGCCCGACGTTTCCAACGTAAGTTTCCTCCCGCATGGTCTAGAAACAGCATATGCTAACGAATCCTGCAGTACTACGACAAGCTATAAGGGAATGCTCGCAAAAGCGTTAGATTTCCTTTATTCGCGATTCTGGGTCATCCGACAGTCATGGGCAAGCTCGTGGCCGCTGGTCGATGTATGACGCAAACAGCTCCCCCATGGGACAACCAGAGCTAGTAAATGTCGGTCCGGGCGGTTTCGCCCTTGATATTAGTCAGGTTTTTTGGGGCTTTGCACGAAAGATACGGATGATGACCCTTTTCCTTACATGTTCTCAGTGTAGTATAGTTGGAGAAAATCAAGCTATATCGCACAAACACCTACGCATCTTTCATGTGTGACGTGTTTTAGTAAAGGTGATGTTGTTGTGAGTGAATGCATGCAGTGTCCAGGCCTGGTAGGTGCACCTCCTTCTGGTTAGATCATCCAGGAGTTCGAGATGGTGAATGTAGCGGGGCATCGGCGTCACGTGCTCACGGGTAAGAGAGCTATGACATTACCGTCGCGCTAGTAGCAACGCGAAAGATGTACGCTCGGCGCAACCAAGTCACACCAGAAACACCACAGCGCAGTACCAGACTGCAACTCGACATTAACGCGATCGCGCAACCTGGTTATGAATGTAATTTGCTCCTAGGACTCGCCATGTTACTCGAGGAGAAAGATCATGCCGTGTTCAAGAGTTGGTTGCTGCCGAACGTGGAGAACATGTAAGTCGGAGCTACACATTGCTCTCACCAAAGCTATCGCGCAGGCGCATGCTGACCTGGGATCTAGCTCCGGTGTAGAAGGCGGAGTGCTCGCTGACTATGTAGCCGCCCTCGTTACCGTCGACGACACGGATGCAAACGTGCAGCGTACCTTGATCGAGTCACTGCAAGACTTTCTTGGTCCGGAGAGTAAGCGCATGGGAAGGCTACGTCACAATTCGTCGCTAATGGCCCAAAGACACCGAGCCTTTTGCAAAAGACGTTATTGCAGCACTCAAAGCTAAGAGCTATCTTCCGAAGCCGAAAGCGAATGACGTTAAACCACAAGCATCGTCTCAAGCCTCACAATCCGCGCCCATACAGTCCATAGTTGGCAGCACGAACTTCGAATACGAACCGCATCCGTCGAACGTGCCATTTGGGGCCCCGAAAGGTCCTGCCGCCAACAGGAACTCAGCAGCATCACACCTCTTACCCGATCGACCAACTGCGCAGGGTTTATATCAGGATGGTTCGAATCAGTCGAGAAAGCGCAAGGTGTTAGAGAGGGACAACAGCCAGTCACAAGAGGGCCAGGATCCACACTATACCCGCAGCGGCGCAGGAAATAACAGGCCGTCGAAGCAGACAGCTCGCAGAGGCGGTAGGAATGCCGGGACTGGAGATGCGCGGACACAGAACGCGTTCGCGAGTTTTGGCGGTATGCCGAATTTCACAAATCTTCCGCCGCCGCCGCCGGGCCCTCTACCGTTCGATACCTCAGATCCCATGGCTTTCTTTGCCATGGCAGCAGCCTTCGGGGCAAATCTGCCGGGCATGCCTCAACTTCCTTTCTCCAATACGCAAGACGGTGGCTCAAGCCAAGGACAACCCAAGACAAAGTGTGCTGATTATTACGAGAGGGGTTTCTGCGCGCTGGGTAGCCTATGTCCACACGAACATAGCGACGCCGCCGTAGCCGTTTCGCCTGACGAAATCCCCGAATACGATCCGGAGCAGTCATTCCTTGCTGTACAGCCATCTAGAGGATCCAACAAGCAAGGAGTGTCCGGTGGCCAGCCTCGTGCAACTAAGGGTAGAAGGGCACGCGCATCGTTCTCTTTGCCGGGCTACTCGCGTGACAAGTCGAATAGGACCCTTGTCGTGGAACAGATACCAGCGGAGCATTTCAACGAGGACAGCATACGGAGCTACTTCTCAGAGTTCGGCGATATTGATGAGCTCGAGCTACACTCTAGGAGGCAGTTAGCAGTGATCAAGTTTGCTGATCGCCAGACCGCTAGGCGTGCTTATCATAGCCCCAAGGCCGTTTTTGAGAACCGGTTCGTCAAGGTCTACTGGTACGCACCAGAAACAAAGGAAAAGTTGGCCCAAGAGAAGCAAGAAGACGAAGAAGAGAAGCTCGACCTAGAGGCGATCGCCATTAGGCAGGCAGAAGCTCAGAAAGCGTTCGAGGAGCGTCGTCGCAAGGCTGCGGAAGCAGACGCGAGAGCTGCAGATATCGAGAGACAGCTGGAAGAAAAGAACAAGGAGATAGAAGAGATCAAGCGACAACTTGCTGAACTGTCAGGGGACCCGAACGATGACTTCGCTCAGACTCTTGCAACGCTACAAGCCGAAGCAGCGGAACTTTTCGATCAACATGGTCCTGGTGAGCAGGAGACACATGGCCGTGGCGCCTTCAATCCAGCTTACCGAGGTCGAGGATACGCTCCCTTTGCACCTCGAGGTAGGGGCTTTGGACCTTACCGGGGCGCGTACAGGGGCCGTGCAGGTGGTTATGCTGGTCGAGGTGTAGTGAATAAGAAGCTCGACAACCGGCCTAGGCGTCTGGCAGTCACCCAGATCCAGCCAGATACACCGAGGGATGAGTCTCTGCGGCAACACCTTCTCGTGAGTAGAAGTTATACATGGATTCATTCATCTCTGCTAACGATACGTACAGAATATACCCGAATGCACAAATATCGAGCGTCACCCCGAGCAAGCCGACACCCTCATCCTAACCTTCAAAGAGCGCTACCAAGCAGAAACTTTCCTTGACCAATCCCTCAATATCCCCGACGTTGGCAAACTCGATCTCGCATGGGTTCCGAACGACGCCTTTGGTGGTCTCAAATCCGTGACGACGACGGATGATGCACCCACAGCTCTCCACGACGATGATGGTGATGACTCTTCCGCTACTATCGGAGAGCAAGAGATCAAGGTCGAAGAAGATGAAGATCGGCAGATGGGGGGTGTGGATGCGGATATGGATGTTGCGGATGATGTGGATGAGTGGCTGTAAGTGATGATACCCTTGGCATGTGATGTGCAGTGACAGACTCTGCAATGTCTTTCTCTTCTCCTTTATTACTATCAAACATCAGCGTGACGTCATGCTTTTAGGTCAAGGAGCATGGTGTGTTCTCGAGATAGTCTCTTCGCATGAATGCAATGCATCAATATACCACATCTTAAGTCTGACAACGTCACATTGGCGCAGATATTCAAGAGACTTCCACGCCCCACCTCACATATAATATTACACTCCAGCCCTCCTATCTAATCATTGCCAGTTGAGCCTGCCATTATCCCTCCGACTCCGTACACCAGCTCCAACATGTTCACTTGCCACGTCGTTCCGTACAACATTCTCCCCCGATCCCAAACTCCTTCCTCCAAGCCTTTGGAAACCCACACCATGTTCACAACATAGCCTGAAAACTTTTCACCTCATCCCCCTTGACACCTTCAAACCAACTCACGCGGTCCTTGACAAACAGCTCGCGCGTCGGCTTCAACTTCGTCTCGACGAGATTGAAATCATCCACTGTCCCAAGGCGCAAGATGGAACAATCAGGGAAAGCAGCGCCAACGCGATACATGAGCGTACCGCAAGTATTGCAAAAGTAGTTCGTCATAGTGTGGCCCGAAGCTATCGTCGAGGCCTGACCATACGACGACAAGTTCGCACGACCACGGAGGTGGCGCAGGTGTCTGTTATATCTCTTGTCAGTAACTGCCCTGCGCATATCCCCCACACCCCCAGAACCATTCAATAGGAAGAAGAAAAAAGACTTACGAATCCCTAACCGTAAAGTTACTAGCAAACATACTCGCAGTAATCTTCCTGCAATCCGCACAATTGCACACAAACGACGATACCAAACCGGGGCCCTCAACCGGAAAAGCGAGTTGCACCGCGCCGCAGAAACACGTCGCAGTCGCTTCTTCGTTGTTGGAAAACCCGTCTTTGGCCTGCCCTGCGAGCGGGAAGTAAGGCACGGATTTATCGGATGTGCTGACGGACATGGCCATGGATGATGCTATTGGTGCGGGATCTCTTAGTGAGGGCGTCGCTGGTACTACAGGCGTGGGCGTTTGAGTGGTTCGAGTCGATGTTCTAGTCGACGTGCGCGTCGAAGGTTGCCGTGAGGTTTGCGTGGAGGGCTGTGTTGTCCTCTGGGAGTTCTGCGTCGATGGCCGCGGTGTTGAAAGCGGGGATGGGGATAGCGCGTAGGCGTTTCCTGGGGCTCGTACTGGTGTTGATGGTAAAGGCGGGGGAAGACTAGTTGATGATGCTGTTGCCTCGGTAGGCGTGCCACTACTTTGGATTGGTGTATCTCCCCAGTTTGCGAAATCTTGGATGTTCGAACCGCGGCCCAGGAACATGGAACTTGCTTTCTTGCGCAGGGAGGAGTGCGATGGTGGCGTGGAGAGTTCTTTCCGTTTCTCTGTTACTAGTAGTGTGGTTGAGCTCTTTGACTTGCGCAGCACGGCTGGTGGTGGATTGTCGGTGCCGGGGATGTGTAAGTCGGGATTCAGGCGCTGGGCGATTTGCTTGATGAACTCCATGGTTGCGACTGGCTTTCCTTCTCTTTTTTATGTTCCTCTCTCCCTCCCTTGCCTCGCGATATGCTGTGTACCCAGGATTTGTAATGGTGAGCACTAAACCTTTCGCGGGAGCTGCTAAGTTGGCTGACAGATCAGATAATGCAGGTCGTGTTTTCCCTTCCGTTCGTTCAGTGGCTATACCGGCTATTGTTGTGGTTGTTGTTATCGATGGTGTTGCTCAGTAAGCCAATATATCATTTCGTCATCGATGTATTACACACATGGAAAACCGTCGTTTTAACCCCGACTCCGCATTTCCTACACTTCCAGCCCCACAAGGTAAGGATTCAAGAACACAACGACCCCCGGTTCTGGGATCGAATGGATCGAAACAAACGACGAAAGGGGAGGGTTCGTTGCTACGGACTTGTTTTGGTCTTTCCAAGCCAGAAAAACAATTATGGCACGCGTCGCGTAACTTCCGTTGGGACGGCTTCACGCTTGAGGCCTGATCTGCGGTGTTAGTGGCCGATTGGTGGTTCCTGAGGATATGCAGGGATCGGTTGCATGCGATTTGAAGGATATCGGTGATTTGGTAAGCATGTCCGTTGGGTCGTGTCCATGGGAACTGCATAAGCTTCACTGTTCACCCTCAATTTTGTTGAGCAGGTGCGACATCAAGCTAGGACACCAATGAACCTTGTATCTGAGACAGTACTGTAAAGTGAACTTTCCCCATGTTGCAGCCATGGTAATTGTTCATTTTCCCAGTTCTGGTTTTCAATAGCTACTCCATGATCTCACTCTGCCTCGCTCCTTCCACTCCATGGACCCAACTCACCCTATCTTTGACGTAGACCTCTCGCTTGGGTTTCAGTAAGCCCTCCATCAAATTCAGATCGTCGACGGTGCCTGCTGCATTTAGTACACATTTCGCTTGACCGGAGAACATCTCATACCAAGCCTCATTAGGGTAAATTCGGGATGCCGCTCAGTCAGCCGGTACATGAGCGTTCCACATGTGTCGCAAAAACAGTTCGTCATTGCCTGGCGTGAAGCAGTCGTCTGAGACTGTGAGAACTTCTTCAGATTGTCCTGGCCGCGAATGTGCTTGACAGCTGAAGCCGCGACAATGAAAGCTGAGGTAAAAGCTGACGCTGTGATCTTTCGGCAATCGGTGCAGTGGCAGACAAAGGTGTCTACAAGGCCCGGGGCGGTGGTTGGCTGTATTGAGCATTAGATCTGTGTGATGGAGGAAGACTAGAGCTACTGGACCGCGAACTTACAAACGCTAGTTGTACGGCTCCGCAATAGCATGTAGCTGTCGCCTCGCCTTCTTTGGAGTAGCCATCCTGCTTTAGACTGTTATGGGGTATGTACGGTTTGTCCTTATCCGAGTCTCGTGTAGACATGGTGGTGATATCCTTGCTTGACTATGACGTAACCGTTGCAGACGAGGAGTGAATGTGGATGATGCAAGAAGAAGCTTTTGGGGGGCTCAAAAGCGATGCTATGTAGTCATGCTTATCTGTGTAACCCAACCTCTATCTCCGATGTATTGCCGGAGGGAGTGCATGTCCGACCCTCCTCTCACTCACTCCGCTCACTCCGTTAGTTTCATACAGGCCCCGGACAAAGAAACACGGGCGGTCCATATGCGCTCGTCGGGCGCCAGCATAATCCTCATGGTAGCTTCACTGAGCTGTAAAGTGTGGCATTCTCGGACAAAGACTTAGGTATCTGAAGAGAGACGCATCGTAGTAACCGATAGGCCTTTACAACTTACTCGCCTTACCCTGCCCCAACGTAACAACCAACTTACCGAACTGACTCGCACTCTTCATATCCTCAAACAGGGTATCAATCTTCTCCACATCCAAACCATGCACACTGCGACTGACCACAGGCTTCATCTTCTTCTCCTTGACAAAGCGCACCATATCCGCAAACTCCTTCCTCGAACCCATCGTCGAACCGCGGACTTCGATGTTGCGCAGCACGGCGGACATGAGGAAGTCCATTTTGGGTGATACGGTCATGCCGTATATGGAAATGACGCCGCCGGCCTATATCGATAAATCAGCTTATTGTTGCAAGAAATGGAGGGAAAGAGGGAGGGAATAACGAACCTTGAGTATCTTACTCCCCACTTTAACAACATCACCGCCCGCGCCATCAACAATAGCATCAAGGTACTTCCTTTCCTTGGGCAGCATAGCCTGAAGTTTCTTATCCCAATCCTTCTCCTTGTAGATAACACCTCCCTTCGCGCCCAACTTGACCGCCTTGTCAATCTTCTCCTGATTCCCGCTCGTCACGTAGACATTGCAACCTTGTGCCACAGCGAACAACAGCACCATAAGCGCAACACCGCCTCCAATACCCGTGACGAGGATATTCCGTCCTGGCATCGCATTCCCGCTCTTAACCCAGAACGCGCGCCACGCCGTCAGCCCGGTAAGCGGCAACGCAGCAGCCTCCTCGTCGTTGAGATGGTCGGGGCATTCCTCCAGTTCACCGGCGTCGAGCGCGCAGACATCTTGTAGTGTGCCCGCGGGATTGCTCTTCGTGCCGCCCATTATCGCATACCCCTTGGGATGTTCGGGGCCGTCCATGCTGTCCTTCCAGCCCGTACCCGGGTTCAGCAAGACGCGCTTGTTGAGCCATGATTGTGCCGAGGGGGATGCGCCGGCGGAGGTGACGATGCCGACGCCGTCTGCGAGGAGGGGTACGCCGAAGGTTGTGCCGGGGTAGAGGTGTTGGCGGATGAAGAGGTCGCGGTGGTTGAGCGCGGCGGCGGTGAGGGTTATGAGGGCCTGGGTCATGGGGATTAGACTGTGCACGAGTGTTGGGTTGTGGTAGAGGGAGCTTACTTCATTTTCTTTGGGCTTGGGTTCGGGAACGGTTATCTTCTCGAGTGGGTAGTAGACTTTGCCTGGCTTGCCTTCGACTTGTCTGATCACGATGGCGGAAGGCATGGTTGTTGATGGCGATTGAGACGTGATGTGATGACGCGTAGCAGTTCAATGTCGGGTGAACAGGCTAGGGAGGATGCGTGATTAGATATGTGCAGCTCAGATGCGCGGAGCGATGACCCGAATAGCTCATCATGGTTGTCGTGCTCGGATGCATGACGAAAGAGTCGCTGGACCGAGGTCGCGTTCGGGGCGGAGGGTATGCTTATCGATCGATGCGGGGAATCCGGATGACGGGGATTGCTCGGTCTTTGCAATGCAACACACATTGGGATTCATCAGAAGCATCTTGTATTGCACTTGGTATTTCTTCATACAGGAATCATGGTTGGCATTCGTTTCGTATGATACGTTAGTGATGCAGGTTCCTTTAGGGCCTCCATCTGAACGACGGATGCCGCCAATCCAGATCCTCAATCTCACCCTGCGACTTGCCAGCCAGCTCCTGGTCAACATCAATAGCGTCACGCTGCTTGTTGCTCCTGTTGATCCAGAGCAACAATAAAATACTCGATATCAAGATGGTACTGCTGGTCGCCAGATTGAGCCCGTTACCGATGGGATAATTAGGCGCATCTGTAGGGAGGAAACTCCATGTCGAGATCAGGCCGCCTACGTTGCCAAACATGACAACAGTACCTAACATTCAGTCAGACTTTGCTTTGTTATGACGTACAAATTTTGGTACTTACCGATAGCGGATGCACGCGCCGTGTCGGACACCACGTTGGCAGAGCCCTGCGCGTTGCACAGCGCGCCGAACGAAAATGCTCCCGATGCGATGAGGAAGGTAGCACCATATCGAACTTGCCCATCTGTACTGGCTAAGAACATGATGTATCCAATCATCATAAGCGGTGCTCCTAGGATGAAGAAAATCATGCGCCTGTCGAATCTCCAGCTTAGGAATGGTAGGAGAAGTGTAAAGAAGGCGCCCACGATGTATGGTGGCACGGTGTGAAGTTGCTGCGAAACGACCGTATCGTTTGGGTATATCGTCTTGACAATCGTGGGTGCGAAGAAAGCCAGACCCTGCACCGTGATGTTGTCGAGAAGGAAGATGAATGAAGTCGCTAGTACCACTGGATTGAAGATACCGCAAAGCGTCTTCTTCTTGTCTAGCTTATCCAGGACCTCGTTCTGGCCGACACGTTCGGACTGGATCAAAAGTCAGTAGTTGTACTATACATACTGGGTTTTCTACCCGAATCCACGCTGTACTGTGGTATGCATCTTTCACAGAAGATGGTGACATACCTTGACACGAGCAATCGCCAAATCCTTCTCTTCTTGCGTCAACCAGCGCGCAGTCTCCGGACGATCTGTGAGCGTCATGAAGGAGATAAGGGCCAAGCAGCATGTGACAATGCCCTCTATAGCGAAGATCATCCTCCAGCGTGTGAGCGAGCCGAAGGAATCGAGCGTGAGAATCGCTGAAGCCAACAAACCTCCGAAAGCGCCAGCTAGAGGAGACATGACAATGTACAGCGACAGTCTGAACGCAAGCTCGGAGCGTCTATACCATCGAGACATGTAGTATGCAATGCCTGGTAGCATACCAGCTTCAAAGATACCCAACAGAAAGCGTACGCCACAAATAGCATGAATGTTGTGAACAAAAGCCGTGCCAATCGATACGATACCGAAGCATAGTGAGATGATAGGGATGAACCATCCCGGACCGAGCCATTTACAGCAGATATTGGACGGGATCTCGAAGACAATGTAGCTGACGTAGAACACGGAGAGAACGGTATTGTAGTCGTAACCACTGAGTCCAAGGTCCTTTTCGAGGCCCGCTAGACGAGCGTTTCCGATGTTGGCACGGTCGATGAAGCAGAACAAATAGAGGAGGGCCACGGTCGGGATGATGTACAAATCGATCTTCAGGCGGAGACGTGACTCTGCCTTTTTATCAAATTGCATTAAAGCATGGCCGTAGCTGTCAACATTGTCAGCAAAGAAGATCGAAGAGAGTGGCTAGACTCGCATGTCGGTAGCAGTATGGCCGTGTCCCGCAATCTGGTGCGCGTCCTCTGGCTTGAAGTCTTCATGTTGGCTGCTCGGCGTGTCTTTTTCAGCCGCGTAATCCGTCTGGGCTTGGGCCATGGTGAAGCGGCGTCCTGAGCGCGTTCAGGTACAGAGAGAAAGAAGGAGGGAACGGCCTTTCTCTTAACAACGGCAAGTCGTAACGTCGCAGCCGCACCTCTGCTTTATTTGTACTCCACACCCCCCGGAAGGTCCTCCTTCACGCCGGATGGCAGCTGGGTCTGGCCGGTGTCCTTGTCAGCGCCGTTTTTGATGGAGCGCGCGCGTGCCAAGGTAGATGGCTGTCATTACTAGCTCTCGAAGTGGTGAAGCGCCTGGGGCACGGTCGCCAGCGGAGCCTTTCGGCGTGGAGACGGCTCTTCCCCGGACTCCACGATGATCGCCGACCCATCTATCTGAAGGCAAACAGCCGTCGCAGTCCTTTCATGTGCCGTCGGGTGTCAGTGTCGGTATATGGCCGTTTTTCGGTTGCAGATAGGGCGTAGGGCTCACTTGCTTGCATCGTCATGGCGAGATCTCTTCCCGGGTACCCCGCTACGCCACGACTCTTGCCACGACTCTTGGGACTGGGACCGATCAAACATTACCATGTGTCAAGCAGCTGATAGGCTGACGGGCCATTGCATATCCGAAATCGACGGGAGAGTGAGTAAGGGGACGTGTGGGTTTTGCGCAAACGTAAAACGAGTCAACGAATTGCACTGCACGGCCCTTACTAAGCTTTGGAACGCTTGTGGAAGAGCGTCCATCCATTTCATTGGTACGTTCAACTTTTCTCAGAACAAGCCTCATAGGAACAGATGCCATGCACTTTGAAGAATGCGATGACCAAAGTTTTCGACCTTCTCACCGGTCTACAAGTGCTTGTAGAGTCTTGACGTGATGTGAAGCTTATCGCCTAATCTCGATTTTCGGAGAGATAGCGTACCAGGGTACCATGTGGTGGAAATGATTGCTCGTAATTGGACGCAAATACGTTAAACGCTGCCGATCCTGATAGATATTATACATATAGCGGCCCTGATAGTAAGCGGTGTATACTCGAGGTTTTAACTTTCAGTCGACACGCTTCTGTATCAAAGTCACCGCCGCTGCCAGCGCACCGATAATGTTACATCGTTACCCTGACTGAACATGCAACGCACTACTGGCTTTGCTCAAACTCTCTGTTCGTCTTCAAACTGACCGTTCTGCCCCTATTGAACTTCTGATTCTTCTTCCATCCAGGGTAGAGCATATCGCACCTTCCAACGACGCAACAGTAGCTCACGGAAATCTTCCATATCAGCAAGGCCTGTTGTAGGAACACAATGGTACATTGCAGCTTGCGGATGCCCGAAGTAGCCGGTCTCCCTGTCTCGCGTTTCGATTTGATCCTTTTCCTTCTACAAGTCAGCCTTGATTGTTATTACTGTTGAGGATGTACGTACACTGCGCCACTCTTCTGCGTCTAGGACAAAGCGAGATGTAATGTCCCACCTTTCAGGCCCCCTAGGCACTTCGTTATAGTCGAGGTTGCTCGATATGACCGTGACACGGACGCCGGAGTCTATCAGATCGCACACAGTTTGCCGAATGCTCTCCATGATGTTAACGAAGTGACGCTCGGATTGTTGAACATCAGCGCCATCCTTGGCGAACGTGGTTTGTATCTCGATCTCGATGTGAAGCTCCTGTCGGCCTTTGAGTCGAGTAAGAGGATAAACCTGAGCCTCTTGTTTAGACACGGCAGCCTGCGCGAACGTGGAGTCGTCACCGAGGCCGTATGCTGGTTTGTAGTAGTCACTCATCTTGTCTTGCCCGTAGCGCGTGTCAGATTCCCAATGTTCGCATGCCAGTTCTATTTTCAGATGACGAATTTTCTCCCACGGGCGCACAAACACCCTCCAAAACGGTTTGTCACTAGGCACTGTCCCATGCAGCAGAAAAGTGCCCAAAGAGTCAGCTCGCATGCCAGTACACAAACCGACTCTGATTACGAAACGGTTCTTCGACCAATATGTCTCGGACAGTTCGGTAGGTACGACCTCCGAATTTGACAGGTAGGACACATCCATTAGTTGGCCACCCGATCCAACAACCGATGGGTCTGTCCGAGAACCAGGCTGTCCAGGAAGTGCAACCTGTATGGTGTCTGGATGGACGCAGACATACTCATAGACAAGGTCACGTAACTCTCGAGGCAGACGAGTGAGGAAAGGCTCCATGAGAGCCGGCGCTTCTTTCAGGATGATGTGTGTCGACGTAGCGTCCATTTCCCTAGTGATGTCATTATGGATCCCGGTTGGTAGTTTCGCGCAAGGTTCCTGGGATTAGGAACAACCTCATCATACCTTTCCAAGTTCCCTACTTCTCTCTTGATGGCGTCTTGCTTTTTCTTCATCTCTTTCATCTCTTGACTGAGCCTCTGCAGATCATCTGAATGAGTTCTCTACACAAGAAGCATATGGGTTTAGCGACTACACAATCCAACGTCTGCATGTTTGCGTGCTTACCAGCTTTGCATGGGTCTGGCGCAGGGTAGACCACATTGCATCGGTGTCAGACGCGTCGGTAGAGCGGCCAATCTGACCACTGGGGCACATCACGGCTTCCGGAGGTCTTTGCGATGGTTTGTTGGGTGTTTGAGCGTGTTGGGGAGTAGATGCGGTTGCCTAAGGGTTGCGTGAGGCATTTGGAGCTAAGCCACGCTAGCGCGCCTGTTTCATCTCGACATGGGAGGAACGTCCCAGACAAAGGCATCGTCCGGCCCCGGGGATCGCAAAGCCCGTGTCGGTTTAATTTTCGTCTTGAACCTTAACCATTCATCCTAGAAAGATTTGGGTACTTTGAGATTGCCTTTCTGATGACGGTGGATTGCCAGGCTGTTACATTTGATCATACCTGGAGAAGAATGCTGTATCGGACTTTGGCCCAAGCGCATGAAAGCAAAGAGTAAGGAAACGACGATCTTCATTTTGAGACTTCGAGCATAAATGGCTACTATTCTTAGGTCAAAAGCACCCCAATGCCTACTCAGTAACGACCGAAATACCATGGTTCTCCACCGCCATCTCCTCCAGCACCTCATCAACCCTCTTCTCAGCAGCCAGGACTTCCTTCTTCTCTTCGCCATCCGCAAGCTCCATCATGGGCTTTGTAAGGGCATGGAACCCCGCTTCTCCATATTCCATTTCCACAAATTTGCCCAGCGCGCTGTACACTAGCTCTCCATGACGCTCCTTATCTGCCATCAACACACCCACAGAACGAGCAACAACATCGGCCGACTGCACGTTGCTATCGCCTAGCGCAGCGATCATGGCACGGGGCACAATCGCTGTGTCGGTCCAGGACGGAGCGACGGCGTTGATCCGGATAGGCAGTCTGGGGTGGAGTTGGGGCTGTAGCGCTCGTAGGAGGCCGAGGACGCCGTGCTTGGCTGTGGCTTTGAGATGTGTCAGCGCTCAATCTTGAAATGGGTTGACGAGACGTACTGTAGTCTTCAGCCGGGAGCCGCGCGAAGCTTGAACCCGATGCTGTCATGACGATGCTGCCACCGTTGGGGTTCTTCTTGAGGTAGTGTATGGCCAGCTTCACGGTGTACATTACACCGACTAAGTTGACGTTGATTGTGTTCATCTTCGGTGGTAACAAGTCGCCATTCTCGTCCACGTCTTCTTCCAGGAAGCTTGTTGATTTTCCTATTCCTGCGTTTGCAAAGGCATGGTCGATCTTCCCGTACTTCTGTTCTGCTGCTTTGAAGACGTCGAGTTGCTCTTTCCAGGACGTGACGTCGGCTTTCAAGAAGGGGACGGATGATGCTTCGGGCTCAGGAAGGGGAGTGAGGTCGCTAGCAAAGACCTTGCCGCCATGCTTGATGATCCTTCGGAGTGTCGCAAGTCCTATGCCCGATGATGCTCCTGGCGCGCGTAAGTAGTCGGTAAAGGATATCCGGTCATGTTATCCTACCAGTGATAACAGCTACCTGATCCTTCAATCCATCAAGTTGGCCGTCCGAGATAGTGAAGCTCGTCATTGTGTTGAGTGGGACAGTGTATTTGTGATGAAATGTCAAAGTACTGAGATTGGAAAGGGCGACTTGAAAGCAGGTAAACAAATAATGTCTTGGCAGATGCAGAAATGGTGAATAGGAAAGAACAGAACAACTTCTTGAGGGACTTTAGAGGAGGCATATCAGGCAGGGGCAGATGTACTATAATTAGCGCAGATGGAGAGTCGCCAAAGCAGACGCCTACGCCGCATTGTAGCTCGGGACCACGGCAGACCCCGCATCAACGTACGACTACGCTAATCACCAAGGTGTTCGGTACCTAGGTAACTTGTGTCACTGGGAGGCACAGAGATAATACCAACAGTTATGTGCCCATTGTGACAAGGGTTCCTTTTGGCTAATTTGCTGGCGCCTATTCGTGTCAGGCAGCTAACTTTGGAACTGTGCCCCAAACAGCGGACGTTCTGTTGTGCTCACCTCGCAGAGGAGCCTCAAATGCTCAGTATGATCGTACGACCGGACCGGGAGGGTTGCGCGCTGCTCTTGCGAAGGTCGACACTTGGGTAGGTTATGCTCCAATGCAGCCTTCAAAGAAGTCTGTCCAACTTGACAGTCCGCAGTAGTGCTCTTTCGCTCCTCTGTATTCTTGCTTCATAGTCAACGACCGCACATGAACCCGCCATGGTTTTTACAAGCGACGCGCGCGCTGACTGCCGTTGCATTTGGGTATATGTCCGCCTCTCAAGCACCACCACCTCCTCCTCCTCTTCCGCGACCGCGTCCTCGGCCCCTCATGCCTCTGCCTCCACCACGATCGCCCCGGTGGTCTCCTCGTCCATGCATGCCTCCTCCTCGGCCGCCCCGGTTCGCTTGGTCCTTGGCTTGCTGTTCCTTTACAACGTCGACGATCTCGTCCGGCACTCGAAGGTACTTTATCTGGAAACTGGTCAGTAGGGTGTATTGAAAGGAACAACCTGATCGCTTACTGTGCTTCCGCGAACGTAAATCTCTGGTAATCTCATGAACTTGTCACCGTCGGCGCTCGTTTGCACAACCTCTTTCAGGGTAAGGTTCATCCACGTGTCGCAGTTGACGAGCAGTCCGTTTAGGGTTTCGCCGCTCTTCAGTTCGACGAGCATGGGGTGGCCAGTCGCGGCCGTCAGAAGGCCCAATGGCAGCTGTGTCGAGAGTCAGTAAAAAGGCGTGAGCTGCTGGCGAGTGAGGTGACGTACCATATTGGCGACCGGGGTGGCTCGCAGATAGGCTGGGTTCTACGTATCAAGTATTGTGGATTCGACGAGAATGTCGCGACGCAGTTGGAGAGGTTCCTAGGACTGGGTGAGATCGAGGGCGGGATACGTAGTCGGGTTAGTGATGATCTCCCTCATTGCATCGCAGGCCGCGAGAGCTCGGACCACAGTGCCTTGGCGAGCCAGCCCTACGAGATGCGACCGAACACCATCCCTCTACTCCGTATATCCACTCTTCTAAACACGACCAATGTAGTCGACTTACTTCCGAGGCCACCAATAACAGATGGCCGGTCCGAATAGGTTTGCACCCTCTACTCACCGAGACCTCTAACCTGCACGTGCACGTGTGGCAGCTGTGCGTAGACTATGCATGTTGTTTAACTGCTTTGATTATCATGATACCAGATACATGTAATACACTCATAGAGCGAATTCGTAAGGCAAGAAATTGGCATGGGCGCAAGTCAGCGGGTGCGCAGTCGCATGGACGAGAACCGCACCAACGATGCTGCCACATGGCCTCTCAGATCATGGATTTCATCGCAACCTTTACATACATTTACCAAAGTACACACATTCGCATCCTCCCGTATCCCAGTGTTTCATCACACTGCATTATGCATAGTGCTGCCAGCTGAATCGTGAGCCGACGTCTAAGCCACGCTCACGCTGACGGCAGCCACTAGCAGCTCTGCACCGAAACGCCCTTCGACTGGTGCCTGATCGAACCTCTGGGAACATCTATCCCATAACCCGCCAAACCTCGCTCTCTTTGCGGGTCGGTGTTCGTGTGCGCTGTTTGCACACTCGCTCTGCTGTACAACTCGTGTTCTTTTTTGCTTTCAACATGCGTTCCTTCAAGTCCAAAGTGCTGTCAGCCTGCGCCTGGGCGGCACCTGTACTCGCCGGCGTCATACCTCAACACGAGCGTCACGCTGCTCGCGCCGACGGAAATCTTTTGCAGCTAGGTACGCGCCCCTCTTATACTATTCCACATTCGCCATCCGTAGGCAGCTGCTGAACTTTTGCTAGACCTTCAACAGAACTACGCGCAAGCTACCTTCAGTGTCCCCTGCACTGGCTGTCTTGGCCGCGATCACACGGACCAGGATGACGAGTCTTTGGTAAGGCCCGCCCTCAGGCACCTAAATACCATGCCACCTGCTCACCATCCTTAGACCTTGAGCTTCACCAGTCATGCCCAGGATCAAGCTTGTGGTTCTTCCAACATTACCCTAAACGGCCTTCATCTTCCCCAAGAGTGGAACGGCGACTTCGCATCTGGTTCCGGTTCCTACCAAGGCGTTACCGACCTCACACAGAATGAATGGTTTCTGCAGCACGACTTGGATCTCGAATGGCAGACAGCCTGTCTTCGTGATAACTTGGAAACGGAAGAAGCAGCCCAGGTAGTAACTGTCAACATCAAGGCCATCGACGGCAAGCAAGTCACCAAACCTGCCGGTTTTACGATCTCGTTCAAACCGCAGACATCACCGCCTTCTCTACTCAGACTTGAGTCTGTCCCCAACCCCTCGGCAAG